TATATATATAGGAACTATTAGAATTCAGACAAAATTAAATTAAATTTTGTCTGCATTTTAATGCTCACCCTGTATACGCACATACACACACATATGTTTCTAAAGTAATGATAAATCTTTCATAGGAGCAGAATGGACTAAACTGAAAAGAAAAGTCCTTTACCCTACCTTTATGACCTCTACTACTTTTATGATTATAGCAATAGTTAATAAGATATTAATTGCTAAAAAAAAATGCCGAAAATTGGTCTTCAATAATTTTTTACTCAAATACTAGCTAACTTTACAGAAACATTGTAACAGACAAATATTATTTATTTTCTTCTCCTAAAGTTCTTCTCATAAAAAGAATTTTTTCAGAATTTTTTAATACCGTATTTTCTCATGTTGATAAAATAAGAAAATGCTGTTTTAAAAATTGATAAAAAATTCTGAAAAAATTCTTAGAGTTCTATGAGAAGAAAATAAACAATTTTTGTCTATTGCAGTTTTTCTGTAAAGTTAATAATATATAAGTAAAAAATTATTGAAGACCAATTTTCGACATTTTTTAGCAATTAACATCTTATTAACTAATTATTGCTAAAATCATAAAATGGTAGAGGATTTTTCTTTTCAGTTTAATCCATTCTATCCCTATGGGCAAGATTTATATTTTCCAAATCCTATGTGTGCGTGCGTGCGTGCGTGTGCATATAGGATATCCCAAAATTCGCAAATTAAAATATCACAACAAAAAAAGCTTTCGAAAAAATATACTGTAAAAATATAAACATATTTGTCACTTATCATTCCGAGCAATAGTTTTTAAAACATAAAGAAAATTAGCTAATTATATATTATTACTAATTATATATACAGTTACAAACGTAAAGTTACAAACAATAGTTTTGATGTACAATTTAAAATTTATCGTAATCTATAATTATATAGCCAGTTGTAAACTATGTAGACATTATGATTTTAGGGCTAATCTAAAAAAATTATAATCTATTTAACAATAAAATTAGATTAAATTTATTTTGTAGAGTACGGTTAAATTTAACTGTAATTTATACTCAATTTTAATCTTTATGATCTTATCTCTCAAAAATTACTGTTTTAAATAATAAAGAGCAAATATTTTTATAATTTATTTTTTCAAGAATTTTCTTGTTGTATGATTTAATATGCAAATTTCGGAACATCTTGTATATACAATTTAGATAGAGAGAGAGAGAGAGAGAGAGAGAGAGAGAGAGAGAGAGAGAGAGAGAGAGAGAGAATTTAAGGAATATATTTAGATATATTTTGTAAATAAATCATTTTTAAAAATTATATGATTTCTCATAATTTTACGAGATTTTATTCAAATTCAATTATATGTGTTTATAAGAAATAATACATGTTTATCTCATTGTTTCCAATATTTTTGTCGTGTAATTCATTGAACTGTTGAATGAATTTGTTTCAATGAACACAAGGTTGTACTAGATTTTACAAAGGTTCCAGATATAACATTTTTATATAACATTTTATATGATTTTCTAAAACGATTCAATGATCCAGATCTACTTGTCAGATTTAAAAGAGAAATCGACGTTCCTTGAAACATATTTAAGCTTATGCGCATTGAAATTGTTTTTAGCTATTTATGGCAAAAATAAAATAGAATATTTAATAAGAATTTTGAAAATAATTTAGATTTAATCTTTGAAATATTTTTCAATAAAATCATCGTTGACAAAAGAGTAAATTTATTATGAATAAATTTTATTTCATGATCTTTAAAGATGATGGATCTTTTTTTTTTAAATCTTGCACCTTTTCTTTAAGTAAAATTTATTATAATTCATTATACTCGCACTTTTTGTTTTAAAATATGACAATCAGTGCCATTGTAATGGTTTTTCCATCTGGCAATATTTAAAAATAATCTCCTAAAAATTTGTTACAAAGGATTTATAGATTCGCTGCAATTTGATGTTTATAATTAGAAATTCAAAATAGGAGATCTAATATTGCGGTTTCTATCAAAAAAATACATTTTTGTGAAACTCACAAAAAATTTTTTTGATTTTTTTGAAATACTAATTGAAAACTACGTATATATAATAAAATTTTGAGAATGTATGGAAACGATAAATCGAATAAAGCGTGTATTGTATAGAATAATATAATATATAAATGATGAAGCATGAATAAGGCTTCTTAGTATATAAAGATGAGATACAAGCTTTTATTTGCAAGTATATGTAGTGTCACATGGTAACTACCTAGTTAATTTTAGTATTAAGAATCTGGCAGAACGAGTATTAATGATAAGAATAAGCATAGAAATTACAACATGAAAACTAGAATAGCATTTTATAGTGACGTCTTCATCTTGTAAACATTAATTGAATTTTAGATTAAAATTGCTATTAATCAATAATTGAATATCGTACAGAGTGTGAATATTACATTCAAGCAACATAGATTATCAATATTTTTTTTCTAATATTTTTATGTAAAAACATAAAACTAAGGAATGAAAGGAAATGTATCAAATTAAGAAAACAAACTGTTCTTTCACTAGTCTTAGTAATTCTGTTTCTCAGAATTACAGTTTTATCTGAGAAGTTTGATGAGTTTCACGAGTTCTCTATTGAGCAAATTGAACAACAATTAAATGATTTGTTCAGATTTATTTTTAGCTCTGTTTCCTCTCTGTTTTATTTTTTCTCGTTTTAACAATGAATTATTATGTGAGGAGCGCATGCAACATTTTATTATACGAATAAATTAAATTGCCAATTGGCAATTTGTCCAAATACTTGAGGGCACAGTCATGGCCACGATGGTGAGTTGACTGTGTTGTTCGCTTTATCGATCACAAGAAAAGAACAAAAATGCAACAAAAATTAAAGAAAATTTAGGAATTTGCAACGCAAACGAGTAGCTCTGTGTGCGTGCGTGCGTGCGTGCGTGCGTGCGTATATGTGTGTGAGTATGTAAATATTTCCGTTTCTTTTGTAAACGAAATTTTTGAGCATCAAAATACTTTGTCTTCCGAGGAGTATATCGTCCCGCGTTAATACCCTGATTTGGCCATGAGTGGATATTTTCAGGAGCGCCGCAAAGCGTCGGGGATTTCCAACATATGCCAAAAGCATCTTCAGCAACGAGAATGACTACGAGAAGCCAAAAAAAAAGAAAACAATAAAATAAAAAATAAAATGATGGAAATTACATGAATTACATTATTTGTATACATGTAATGTATATATATATATATTTTTTTTTTTTAATTATTTTTATATACTAAAATACTTTTTTCTAAAAATTAAATTGCTGAACAATCAATTAGATCCATAATATTCGTAAAGTTTATTTTATATGTCATATCTTATTTAAAGTAAACTTATATATTTTTGTTACGTTTTTTGTATAATCTTCTTTAATTGTGTAATTTTTAATGTAATGTCAATTTTACAACGTTTTCAATATTTTTCATATAAACTGAAATTAAAAAAATGTGATCTCAACTATAACACAGTGATGAGATCGCAATAGAAAAAGTATTGCAGTATTTTAAATCCTTCTAAAAAAATCGAATACTACAATTTTGAAAACCTCCTTACTCTGTATAATATTCAATTAAAAGATCTATTTCGAGATTAAAAATAGACAATCTCTTATGAGCTGTGATAGATGAAGAACTGTTAACTGCAGCAACGGTGATGGCAACCCGTGTCTAGATTAGGAGATATTTATTGGTCGCGGGATTTCTAAAAGAACGAGAACAAGAGAAAAATGAAGGACAGAAAAAGAAGGGAAGAAAGAAGAATGATGACGACGACTAGGACTTGTGTCGCGTCGCGAACGACGTCGTCACCGTTTTCACCCAAAGGCGTCTCTCAAACCAAGCGACGTCGTGGCCACCCGGGCTTCCTGGTCCGTGTACCACCACTCGCGTGTCTATCGGTGTGTTAGGCGTGGGCAGCACTCGCTGGCTAGCCCTCGAGGCGTCTCGCGTGCCCATCTTCGGTAGCATCGCGTATCCCGCCACAGACGTTATATCTGGCGTCGCGACGCCCTCGAGCCTCAGCCACTCCTCAGCCGCCCGTCGATTCACAGCTCACCCTCACGGTTAGTAATATATTCGCGAAATGTTCTTTCTGTGCTTGCTCGAACATCTTGAAAATTTACGCGCGATTACAAAAATTAAGTGTCGAAGAGATTCTAAAAAGGAAAAAAGAAACGTGTCAGTGTATAAATCAAAGGCTTCGATTTAAAAATCAATTCTGTAATGCGATCAAAGGAAGAAAAAAATTGGATTGATTCTAAAGTGAATTAAAGCATTGACTATATATAACAACATTGTATCATTGTATATAGCACAATAGAAAAAGACTCTGTATGTTATACTAGAGGAAATGTAATATTATTAAATATTATAGTATTGGTCAATTATTTTTTTTATAAAATAACTAGGCTTTGATATTATTTTAATTATAATAAAAAGATAACATCATTTTAATCAATATTTTATTCATTTTAAAATAAATATAATTTAGACTACGGAAAATATACAAAAATTAAAACATTATGAATTAAATTGTTATTCTTAAAAAGTAAAGATTATTATTTTATCGGAAATATTATTATTTTTTTTTTAAATTTAATGATCGTTGAAAACTCTAAAATAGTTAAAATAATCAATTTAAATATTGAATCAGCTAGCTTAATCAGATATAATTATATGCTTGCTTATAATTTTTTGAAGATATGTTCGAACGAAAATAAATAGAATTACACACAAATTAAGTGGATAAAAAAATTTTATTATTTAATTATTAACTCGGAAAAATCAAGAGAAACTAGTTTGTAATTCGATATCAAATTATCTATTCTAACTTAATAAATAATCGAATAAATTTTTTTTACAGAAAAACTAAAGCAGCAGCAAAATGTGTGATGACGAAGTAGCAGCCCTGGTCGTAGATAATGGTTCCGGCATGTGCAAGGCCGGCTTCGCTGGAGATGACGCTCCCCGCGCCGTCTTCCCCTCGATCGTTGGTCGACCTCGCCATCAGGGAGTGATGGTCGGTATGGGTCAGAAAGACAGCTACGTGGGTGACGAAGCCCAGAGCAAAAGAGGTATCCTAACACTAAAATATCCGATCGAACATGGTATCATCACTAACTGGGACGACATGGAGAAGATCTGGCATCACACTTTCTACAACGAATTGCGTGTCGCACCAGAGGAACATCCTGTCCTCCTCACTGAAGCGCCCCTCAACCCGAAAGCTAATCGCGAAAAGATGACGCAGATCATGTTCGAAACCTTCAACAGCCCGGCCATGTACGTCGCCATCCAGGCCGTCCTTTCCCTATACGCTTCCGGTCGTACCACCGGTATCGTCCTGGACTCCGGTGACGGTGTCTCTCACACCGTACCTATCTACGAAGGTTACGCCCTTCCTCATGCCATCCTCCGTCTGGACTTGGCTGGTCGCGATCTTACTGATTATCTCATGAAGATCCTCACCGAGAGAGGCTACAGCTTCACTACCACGGCTGAGCGAGAAATCGTCCGCGATATCAAGGAAAAACTATGTTATGTCGCTCTGGACTTCGAACAGGAAATGGCCACCGCTGCTGCCAGCACCTCTCTCGAGAAGAGTTATGAGTTACCCGATGGTCAAGTCATCACCATTGGTAACGAGAGGTTCCGCACACCAGAGGCTCTCTTTCAACCTTCCTTCCTGGGTATGGAATCTTGCGGTATTCACGAAACCGTCTATAATTCCATCATGAAGTGCGACGTCGATATCCGTAAGGATCTCTACGCCAATAATGTCCTCTCCGGTGGTACTACCATGTACCCCGGTATAGCCGACCGTATGCAAAAGGAAATCACCGCCCTTGCGCCCTCAACTATCAAGATCAAGATCATCGCTCCTCCTGAGAGGAAGTACTCCGTATGGATCGGTGGTTCCATTCTGGCTTCTCTGTCTACCTTCCAGCAGATGTGGATTTCCAAACAAGAGTATGACGAATCTGGCCCTGGCATTGTCCATCGCAAATGCTTCTAAACGCATCATTACACGATTGATGCAACAGCATAATTTAAAAAAAAACACATTTGCTCGGGGAGAACATACAAATAACATGCAATTCTGGCCTGAGCAATCAAGCTGCTATAAGAAAATATCAGAGCATTATCATCGTCTCTCGGTCCTCATCAGATCTCATGGAATCATTGTCACGGTTTCGTTCATCGTTTTTGCACAAATAACGGCGATCTAGTTAATCATCCTCAACACCGCAAACTTTTGTAAAAAGTGCGCTCCGATACCATCATTGCTCACTTAATGTTATCATTATGGCCGAGGTAATGGTTGGCGAGATTGGCTCTCGTTTCAGGACTTTTCTTACGGTAGCCTTGGATATTGTCAAGCATTGGGAAGGATCTTTGCATATTTAAATGTAGATGGATGCTACCAAATGCATCTTTTGATCCACGAATGAAATCTTCTGGGAGATATAAGAACAGGCAGGAACCTCGAAACGCTTGGCAACGAGCTTGAGACTACTTCGGGAAAGCTGCGCTTTTTTCACTGTCACGTGAGCATTTCTCATCAACGTTCGAGAAATCGATCCTCTCTTAATACGTACTACATATTGATTACGTCTAGTCTGTTAATCGAAGCAACTAAGTATCTACCAATGTATTTCTATATTTTAATTTATTTTGTAAATATTATACATTATGTTATTATATATTGTTATACGATGTCAAAGTGAATTCAAATACATTATATCATATAATATCACTATTGTTTTTATTACATGAAGTTTTTTATTACCTCCCGTAAACTTTAGCTTTATTTCTGCTGTTCCTCTTGATGCTACATTGTTCTACTTCTCACCAAATAGTACTTGAAACTTCCTCTTCAAGTTTTTATCTGTGAAATATTATTATATAATAGTACGTAAATTTTTAACTTTTTATTTGAGCTTATTGAGAGCAAACATTTGAAAATAAGAAAATGCATGAATAGAAATATATATATATATATAAAGTTTAAAGAGTTCTAAATATACCAAGAATACGTGAAATCTTCTTTTTTTAAACCAATCCTTATTTTTTTGATGAATTAAACATTAAGAGAAAAGAGAAATTTGCTTATGCATTTCACATAGTCTCAAGTATTATTTAATCGCTGTAGTAAATAAATTTGCATTCTAACGTTATGCTAATGTGTTTTCGTTCTTGTCCAAATTTGTCTTCAATCGCGGCGAAGTAGTAGTCTGCGTTATTTTAAAATATCTATTATCGTTATACGTATTATAGTTGCGATGAGTAACCTTGGCCTAATACAAGATTCATTCAAAATAAAAAAATTATCAATACATAATTTATTTTTCTTTTTTTTCTTCTTTTCTTCCTATTTTTCTTTTTATTCTATTTCTATCGATTCTAATGAGTCTGGTAGAAGAAGATAGTGTTCAACCAAAAGAGCTAGCATTTCATTGGCTAGCATTTGAATGACTAGCATTTGATTGGCTGGTCATCACGTAAGAAGAATGTGCGCAATACGTATTAAGCGCGCTGTTATACCTTATCTTCTTCCATGATAGTGAGTATCTAGTAATATTTTTGTTTCTCCGATAGGACATTATTTAAAAATTATATGAATATGAAAAAATTATATGAAAAAAATATTATATGAAATCTTGCATAAAATTTTTAATGTGTAATTATCAGAGTTACAACTGTTTTTGTAAATATACGCAGCGAGTATATTTATAAAAACAGATGAAAAACTCTGATCTTTTTTAAAATTTGATAACTGTTATATTAATTTCGATATATATGTAGTTTCAATATAACAATAACAATATGACGATTCATCTTAAACGTATTTATCAATTAAATTTGAAAAAAATTTGTTCAATAATTGGGAAAAATATTTTAGCTGTATTTTGAAAATATAAAAATATAATAATAATATTCATAAAAATGCAAATTTATTTCTAAATTATAATATAAAAATATTGCAATATGAAGATGATACATTTATCGTGACTAAAAATTTTAGAATCAAACGAACAGAATTTTGAAATAAATATGAAACTTTCAAAAGTGTTCATCAAGCATTTAAAAATAATGGGATAATGTCCTGATTTCTTTCTTCAATTTACTAATGATTTCTAATTATATTCTCGAAATAGAAAATATTTACTTCAAATTATATTTGTTTAATTTTTCACAAATATATCATTTAGAAAGGACGGTGAGTAAAATAGGCTGATTTTTACTTCCAAAGTGTAACAAAATATCTATGTTCTTACGTTTTTTGGATCACTGAACATTTTTATTCATCTGCTGAATAAGCTATTATAACTGATAGATTAGAAGCATTTTTACTAATATATAAAGAAAATGCTTAATTGATTTTGAATGACGAGAAAGTATTTGTTTTTAATAAAAATACATTGATACTATACTTTTTTAAATTGAAATGATCTCATACTTATATTCAATACCATTCCTGATGAACATTTAAATAATGTATTTTATGTCGAAGCCTCTTTGGATTCTGATAATAACAAATGAATTTACGCTATACTATAAATTATGATACAAAAATAGTAATAATAGTGCTCTAGGCGAAGATCTGTATCTTAAAAAGATCTAATGCAATTAAAAAGATCTCTGGTGGGATTCCTGTAGTGGTATGAAAGTTTATCGTTTTAACATTCTCAAAACTTTATATGTACATTAAAAATTTCATTTTCAAATTTATTATAATATACTTTTAAGTTACACAATTTGAACTTAATTTCATGATATTACATTAAATTTAATGTATTTATAATTGAAAAAAATATTTGCATTTACATGAAATTTAATGTATTTTTCATGAAAATTTATGAACTTTAATGTACACGTTTATTATATTTAAATAACTACTTTAACTTAAATTTTCAGTTAAATCATTCATTACTTTTAATTTTGTTCATAATCACGAAGTTTATTTATGTGTAAAGGAAACAGTTTCTAACAGTACATATCTAATAAGACAAAACTTTTTAAATAAGAAATTATCTTTTTTAATTATATCATATTGATTTCGCATTGTGAAATTTAAAATTTCTGAAGTGTTTTATTTTTAAGTGTTTCTCTTTGGTTTTTAATGAAAAAAGTTATAAAATATACCTATTTTATCTATTCTTCTAAATCATCTTTTATTCTGATGAAACTGTTATGTTATGGCGAATCATCTTAGCACAATTATTGGAAAGTTTTTGTTAATTCATATTGTGATTATTTTCCAATTTGCAAGATGCAGAATTATACGAATCTGTTTTTGAATACCAAATATTATCATATATTTCATACTTTTTCGTTAATTATTGCCTGTATAAGTTTCTCGTAAATGTTTTTCAACGTTCTATTGATATTTATTATATATGGTTATTATACAATGTGCTTTTGTTTGTTGTTTCTTGTTTTTTGCTATTTTTTTACATCTTGTTTTTTTGTTTTGGTTTTTTGTTTTATGTTGTCTGAGATAAAAGTTAATGAATTTCGGAAGAAACAGGAAACAAAGAGCACATTGGTTTTAGGGACAAAAATGTCCGTGATAAAAGCTGAAGAAATTTATTTTCGTCGCATCGCATAATCTCAAAATATTTCTGTTAATTTAACCTCCATAGGAACGTGATTCTCATTTCTATCACATTTTTCTGCTTTTTCTCATTGATATCTAATTGAGACATTTATTTTAATTTTAGAAAATGATAATTCTGCAATGATTGAATCTATTACAGTTTTAAGCAAAAATAATTAGGATCGAGAAAAGTAGAATTTATTCAATGTCGTTGTGATTTATAAAAAGAATTATGTTTTAAAAAAGAAGATAAAAAAAATTGACATGTATATTGCGTGCATTGCATGTATATGCGTAAACTTGACAAAGAATATTTTGTAGAAAATTTTTTTATAAAAATAATCTATTCAATTAATATTTTTATATACAGGATTTTAGAAAAAGAGAAAGTAAGAGAGAAAGAAAAAGAAAATAAGAAGAAGGACTACTTGATGTGAGATTTACTACTTGATGTGAGATTTACTCACAAACTGGCAGTTAATTTTAATGTATTTAACTGATATTTGTAAAATGACACATCTAGATTATCTCGAAAAAACTAGTTTGAATTAATTAATCGAAACGATCGGTACCTCAATGCAATGTTGGAACGCGTCGCGTGATATTTCTAAAGTAATGAAGCATATTCCTCGGTCCGCTTAGGGGCTGCGGCCGCCTAGTTCGGCGAGCGTCGCGATGCCTCGCGAGGCGATGCCTTTTTCGTGCCTGTCGGGCAAGCACCATCCCACGAAAATGCGGGGGCGTCCAAACGAGAGCATATAATTGACGTCGCGACGTCGTCGAGGTACAGACGCCGCTCCACCTCTGTCCCGTGCACGGTACGTAGACATAGTCACGAATTTCCATTGCTGAGTTTTTCCCTTTTTCGGAGAACATAATCGTTTTCTGCTTGCTTTCGCGATCTCATCAAAAGATGTCCGCGTGTTATGGTGATTATAAGCGAATGAAAGTGATAAGCTGCTGAACCATTAGGATTATTCGAGATAACCAGCAATACAGAGTAACAGTTTCACTATTATCTTAACTTAATCAAAAGGAGGGCACAACTTTTTTTGCGACCATTTCGGGATCGTTTTATTTCTACATTTTTTCATGCATGTATTTTTCTTCATGACACCCGAAAATTATCATAATAATGACTCTATACTCAAGAAAAAACTGATACTTTAAAAAAGAGTTAATGAAATTCTTACTCACATCATTACGAAATTGCTGTCAATTATACTTCAATCATTTAAAAACTAATTTTGAGAGTTGGATCAATAACTTTAAATTAGTTTTTAAATGATTGAAGCATATATATAACAATAGTGATTTCATAATATAGTGAGTAATGATTTTATTCTTTATTTCAATGTATTAATTTTTCTGGAGTAGCATTATTATTATATAATTTTCGGATTTCGGATGAAGAAAAATACACAAGAAAATGTGGAAATACAACAATTCCCAAATGATTACAAAGAAATGAAAATTGTACTCTCCTTTTAAAAGTTATATTTATTTGTTATTAAATTAAATTAAATTTAATTTACAAACAAAATTAATTAACAAACAAAAATCTACTTGTTTTTTAAATTTGTTTTTAATTATAAACTACAAACACAACTTTTTCTTTTTGGTTAAAATAATATTTAAATTTTAATTAATTAGTAAAACGGATTAAGAGACGCCGTATTGTAATGTCAAATATATTTTCAAGTATTAAACATATTTTTCAAATATATTTTCCATTTTCATATTTACTTGAAAGATTCAGTTTGTTAACAGAAATTTAAACTAAAATTACATTTAAATTAAAATTATTCATATTTTCATATATTTTATAACATATTCATTCTGCTTTGTCTTTTATTACTTTTTTTACTTTGATTTTTTTAATCTATAAGTAAGCTACTTGCCTCAAAGTTCTTTGACCCATTACTGAATCCTCGGAAGAAGTTCAAGTTCTCAGCGTTCACTGTATCAGTTGAGATTGTTTCTTGGCATATCGTCAAATGACTCGCATTTATTATAGCCATCATTTTTGTACATCTATGTTTCGTAAAAATTATGGGCAGGAAACGAGTATCCTATTTGCAACAAATTAATATTAATCTCCGAGTATAGCATTTTAATACGCTTAACGTATTAATTTTAGAAACATTAATTGT